AGAATTTAAAAAATTGACGAGACTTACCTTGGTTAAAGTTGAAGTCAATTTTATATTCTGTGAGTCATAGGACTCACTGTAGGGATTAAATGCCACCCTTCCCTCCCTATATATTGTATGGTTGCGAACCTACAAATCACTCCATTTGTTTCAACTTTAAATTTTTTAAATTTCTCAACAATATACATCAATAGCAGGTTACAATACATATTTGAATTATTTTGGTTAAATCAAAAGCAATTAACTCAAAAATCGTTCATCGAAAACGATGTACTCAAAAGTATACATAAACATACCAAGAATAGTTCAAATCCAGGGTTATTTGTATACATACAATATATTTCTTAAGCACGTCCCATGAACAAATTGAGATCGATATTCCTGCAGGAATAATGATGTGCTTTCAGACGATAATAGAAACGAATTATGATTATGAATTATTCGAAGTCATTCTCTTGTATCTGATTTTCGTTTACTGATGGAAATGAGATATTCATAAATTTGTACGAATAAAAAATATCTGGTTTTTGACATGTTCTATTGACATGTCAAATATTGTTTTTCGTGTAAGAACTTATTAAAAACAAAAGGTATAAAGTTGTAAGGTATATAGCATCGACATATTGATGGACCAATGTGACGGATGTCGAACTCCTTGACAGAGTGGCGAACTCACTGACATACTGGCGTATGGGGTAGCCCTAACTCTTGCAAGTTGTAACCACGGGTTGAAATATTGAATTTGAATTGCCAAAATCAAGATATCTTGTATTCATTTAGCAATCCTCGGCAGTTTCCGTAAAGCTGGATCTGTCTCGGTTATAAATAAATTTCGTTGTGTCTTCGTGGGTGTCTTCCCACATCGCCCCTTTCATGTTTAAATGATCACATATTTTCCATAATTATATAATCAAATGTACTGTACCACTGTTGTACTTTTATCTTGAATCATTGCAGTGTCGTGAACCGATATACATTAGATTTATATAGGTGGTGCCGGAAGAACTATTAAACTGGGCAAACAAAGTTTATACACATTTATCTAAATCAATGTCATACAAAAGGGTAATATATCAAATACGTACATTTTAAATTGCTGAGAATATCAAATCATGGGTTCTTATTCAAAAACGTTACATTTTTTGTTATATTCTAATCTGAAGAGTTGCTCACAAACAAAAAGTTGAATACGTAATGAAATACTCTGTCCCATTTAAATATATTATGTATATATGATTAAATACGTTTGAGAGTTTTTGGAATATTTAAAATCCGCATCCCCAGGTATATACCGAGGGAAAAAGTTTGAAATATCATAAAATCACGAGTAGAAGTGTTTAAAAAAGTCTTTTAAAACCAGACTCATTTGTTCATTTTAAGAAGTAAATAAATAAAGTTGAAAAAGGGGTGCTATTCGTGCCCTCAAGAATCGGCCAGTTCGTCTAAAGAAGAGGCGATATCCTGCAAAGTGTAATTCGTGCTTACAAATTTGATTAATTCAGCCGGCGACCAGTGTATAGACTTACCTTTTGTCTAGATATTGAAACATAGTTGGGTCAGACAGGGATATTTTGTCACTGAATCCGAGGTATTTTAGGGATTTAATATAGAATACCCCAGCAATATGTCATGAATTAAATGCCAACAGAACTATAAAATAGATTTATAGGTAATTGCTTTGTGATTCTCACAATGTGCAAAGCTCAACCACTCAAAAATTTACTTGATGGAAATTTTGTAAAAATTTGGCTGCCCCTTCTGAAATTGTGCTTCAAAATAACCAAATATTTGACTGAAAATTGAATTCTGTAAAATAAAATTTAAGAACAATATTTCTTTTCATTTGTTGGATATTCTATCAACCCGAAAACAATTTCTCAAGACTCTTTTGCGCTTGACATTTCAAACAACTGGCAAAATAAGGTTTTGAAACCACTGTGGTAGTAGATCCTTCTTTGATTGAAGTGTGCTGGAAATTTTTCCCGATTACTTGTTATACTATAATCGCTTGGAAGTTGGATTTCTTACAGCCAGTAGGAAGTATAGACTTTGATACGTGTTTGGTACATATCTCCGCAATTCAAAATAGGCGCATACATTTCGATTTTAGCGTAATACACCGCGAGGCATTTCTTAAACATAAATGATACACGATATTGCAGTTGTAAATTAGTGGGAATATTTTTGACTGAAGTTGTTAGATTTTCTACATAGGCATAGACATTCCATGACACAATTACAACTTGAATTACACTCACATTATACAATATAAATGACTCTTATTTCGCATGAAAACGTTTACATTAACATTCTGTTAATGTGAGTTCACTGTATAATATTTGCAAGATAACCTACATCATATAATCTCGTCATTTAAAAATTCCATGTCAACTTTACATAAATTTGTATGTATTTACTATGATTTATTTGAGCTTTAAAACTGCGTTTGTGTTTTCCGTCACATGATTAAAATAAAAAAGAATTTCAAAATGATTTCCGTAACAACATAAATAATAAATCTGTCATTGGATTAAAAATTTTCCACTAGTCTTGTGCACAATGAAAGATACCTTGATCTTATATCACGGATAAGCAAACCAATAAAATAACCAAGGACTATGGTTTGGGATGAAATATTATAGCCAACTTCAAGATTTATAAAAAAAGAATGTTCCAGCTTCTTATAACATAATAAATCTTGGAGTAATCAATTGAAATTCATTAAAAGGCAACCACGTTTTATCGAATAAGATTATTGAATATATGTCAAGGGTATAAAGAGATAAGGCCAATAAAATAGATAAAATCCGGGGAACTTGCCAAAAACAAGTATTATGGAATAATTCTACATAATTCATTGCATGGTAAGTCTTAGTATTAAAAATTCCTCTGTCTCATAGCCTATGGTTGACCGATAGATGACTTTCAGAATCGGTCCTAAATAATAGTCGGGGTCATTTTATGGTATACAATACTGAATGAATTTTCACAAATATAATAGGATGTTTAGGAGTAAATACGTTGAAGACGCTCAGTATTTCTTCCAGATGTTGGTCTTCGCTGTAGCATGGCTGCTGTTGATCAGCTGCACCGATGGGCAGCATAAGAAGACTTTCCATATGACAGGTGTTCAAGACCAAAATGGTAAATTCCAAGGAGTAATTAACATACCAATAACAGAGCATATAGACGGCTGGGAAATAGAAATCAAATTTAGCTCACCTGTTACTAATCTAAATGTAGGCATATTTTATATTCCAAGCACTTTTCGACCATTAGGCAAGATGTAAGTTAGTTCATCGTGGCATTAACTCACATTTTTCATTACGTATTGGTACCCCAAAAATATTATTTGTTAAAAATGTACAACGAATCCATAATATTTAGAATTATTAAATCAGAACACAATTTGTGGAAATCTTAGATATCTAAATTGATGACACTATCAATATTTCTAAATTTTAGGAATGGATGGGTGACATCATAAAAACATCCACCGACAATAAAGTATTTACCCTAGTTGATAAACCTCACGTTGGTATACAGGAGCCAGGCAAGACTCTCAGTATTCAAATTTATGGTAGTTACTCAGGTAGTCTTCCTTCAGCTTCAGCGTACTTCATCAATCTCGGTATAGATGATTATAAACCTCCAACATTACCAAACCGTAAGTCATGGGGTGTATATTGTTTTTGCAGGAAAAAAAAGTATAATTTTGTGTCGAGTACTCTGCAGAATCTGTCATAATTGCAGCACCTTTTGAAATGCATTAAATCTGCATGTAGGTGGTTTCTTTAACTTCTGAATATAAATTGAACCGGATAGTGGAACAATGTAAATTGTCAAAAAAGTATACAATTGACTCTAGAAGGCGTATTTTTGGATCGATTTTGCTCGAGTTTTCAGTTTTAGAATCTCACAAGAATATCGTATGTGATAGCAGTTAAAAAAGTTCGAATTTTGAAAATTAATAGCACATATTTTAATTAGTTAAAGATACCTTCTCTCCTATTTCTGTCAATGTCTAGTTTGTGCATATAACGGCGTTCTAGAGTGAATTAGAAGGTGCCATGCTGTAAGTTGAACTTACTGAAGCACCCTGGAACCACACCCACGACTTAATTGACCCACTTTCTTATTTCTTATCCGGATTTCTTCAAATTGGTATGTACTTGAATATTCGATTTGCGGAATGCGCATTACTATCTTGCTTATTTCTTATCCAAAGTTCTTCAAATTTGTTATGTATGTGTATAATCCAATTTTGAATTTGACGGATATATATTGCGTAGTGTGCATAACCAAATTCCTTATTTTTATCCAAATGCCACCAAATTAGGTATGTAAGCGTATAATCAAATTCTGAATTTGATGGAAATGTTGAATTTTGCGCAGTAGGCATGCGCAATACCAACTTCCTTTTTTTTCCAAATTTCATCAAATTTGGTATAAATGTGCATATTAAATCTCAGAATTTGCAACAACACAGAATCATCCAATTTGAACCAATCCAACTACCAACTACTACGACTACCAACAACTACCTAGTTTGCGATGTGCAAACTTCCTTATTTTTTTTATCCAAATCTCACCAAATTTAGTATGTATGCGTATAATCAAATTCTGAACTTGATGGAAATATTGAATTTAGCTGTGCGCATGCGCATTAAAACTGTCTTATTTCTTGATCAAATTTCATTGATTTCGGTATGTATGTGTACGTTATCAAATTCTGAATTTGATGGAAATATTAAATTCGTATTTTGCACATGCGCATTACCAAATTTCTTATTTCTTATCCAAATATCTGTCTACTTATGTACCATTATTTTGTCACACGCCCTGTATCAGTACTGTTAAGGGAACAGTTCTAATTATTTGTAATCTTAACCACCCAATTAGAGGTCTATGTCAGATGACACACTACTACAAACAATTATGTATCTGTTTTATTTTTATGTTTTTTAAAACCATTGCACAGTTTTCGCATCACGTAAAGAATGCTCAAATGTTCACTACACTGTTTCAAAGGGACATTTGTGCCATTTTTTCCCTTTAACCCAAATATCACAAATATTAATCACAAACGAATCACTGACTTTTCAGGTGATCATACTAAATACAACTATGACCAAATTCTTCAATTATCAATTCTCTTCTACGAATCCCAGAGATCTGGTAAACTACCAGCTAATAACAGAATACCATGGAGAGGAGATTCAGCTTTAAATGATAAAGGATCAAATGGTGAAGATTTAACTGGTGGATGGTATGATGGTAAGAATTTTTATTTCACTTATTGGTCAGTGATTTACAGTTAGATTTATTATCATTTCCACTCCTCACTCTGTTTCTCTAAGATCTGATTCTACCTTTTTAGCTGGTGACCATGTCAAATTTGGCCTACCAATGGCATTCTCCACGACAATGTTAACCTGGAGTTTACTGGAATTTCAAGATGCTTACCAGGCTTCTGGACAACTACAACATATGTATGATTCTATTAAATGGCCACTGGATTATTTTCTCAAGGCCCACACGAAACCCAATGAATTCTATGTTCAGGTAAGTATCCATATAAAAACAGTCAAATAAATATGATAAACAAAATAGAGAAATGCAATGAAATGAAACGAAAATTGAACTCACATAATTGAACTGGAACCAGCTATTAAAAGACATAACATAAACATCATATTTATAGGTGGGTGATGGAGGTAAAGATCACAGCTATTGGGGACGACCGGAAGATATGAAAATGGCTCGTCCATCATACAAAATTACTCCTTCTTGTGCCGGAAGTGACGTGGCTGCAGAAACTGCTGCTGCAATGGCGGCTGGATATATGGTTTTTAAAAACAAGGGTGTGTTATTTGAGAATATATCTAGAAAAAATAACCCGGACGCAGTGTTACGATTTTCTCTAATGATCAAAAAAGTAACATTCATTTCACATCTTTAAAAAGGCTGCTACCGAAAATTGAAAAAAAACTTTTAATGTACACAAACAAAATTTTATAGAATCCACACTTACCCAGCTTTATTGCCAACAGTTCGTGATTTATTACATTACAATACTAAATCACAAATTATCATGTATATTTCCAGATTCAGCTTATGCTAATAAACTACTGTCTCACAGTAAACAGTTATATGACTTTGCTCTAGCACATCAAGGTATTTATACACATTGTATAAATGAAGCTGCTGCTTATTACAGGTAATAATGAGTAAACCATAGTCAACTGGATCGACATTCTTCCCAATTATTGTCGTTTTTGAAAAAATCTATAAATAAATCTTTAAATTATCGTTTTTGATCCGTTGTTTGGTCTGTGGGTAATAACATACACCAAAATCTGCAGGTTGTTTTTACTTACAGTTGGATTGTTTGTGCGGTTAATTGCTTATTTTTTAATACTGATGGAGCTATGCCTGTTTCACTCAGAATTTTCAAATATTTACTTGATTTATAGATCTATGGGTTTTAAAGATGAATTAGCCTGGGGCGGAGCCTGGTTATATTATGCCACCAAAGAAGCAAAATACCTGACATCAGCTGAGAAATACCATCAACCCGGTAAATCCTGGGGATTGTCATGGGACGATAAACAAGCTGCCGAACAGGTGCAACAATTATCCCACACTATATAGACCGTATATGTATATTTCCATTTTTCGGAAATCAGAAAGTATTTCCTCCGAATTGCTGAAGATTCAAGAAATAATTTTTATATTAATTAAACTAGTGGAAAATGAGGCAGACTTCATCGCAATTATTTCCAGTGTTATCTGTTTTGTTCAACAGGTTTTATTGTATAAATTGACAAAGAAAGATATATACAAGAAAGATATTGAGGCCACCTTTCAGGACTGGATGCCTGGTGGTGGTATCCCTTATACTCCAAAGGGTCTGGCCTTCAGATTAAAATGGGGAGCTTTAAGATATGCTAGTAAGTACCTTGTAGTACATTCCATTACGAACATTGAGTTGATATGTGAATAAATACCACATCAACGGAAACTCCCATGCCTTCACCGTATACCTATCTGTATGCAAACTAATTTCAGTGACATGCTGTGTTGAAGTTTCTACTCACTAGTTCTAAAACTTCTCATCCTAGATTATTTCAAGGAAAAATGTTTTTCAGTAAAACCACCCGATTCTCACACGAAAACGCGTTACCTTTTTTAATTCCAAACTGAAATACCCTTTTCATCTGTTTGAAACTGTCTATAAGCTCAATAAGCTTCAAATGTTTTGTATATCTGTTTCCATTTTGTTTTAGGTAATATGGCATTCGTCGCTCTTATAGCAGCAGAGGAAGGTCTTCATTCTACTGAATACCGGAAATGGGCTAAGGGTCAAATTCACTATGCCTTAGGAGATACTGGCAGAAGCTATATTGTAGGGTTTGGTAAAAATCCACCAAAACGTCCACATCACAGAGGAAGGTAATACTTGTAAACATAGTTTACATGTACGACTTTAAGATCAATTTCCTTAAATCTGCGTAAATTCCTCTGAAACTTAAGCTCTGTTATTTAATCAGTATTCATCGTGTTCATTGTAGCTCTTGTCCAATGATGCCAGCCCCGTGTGCCTGGTTTGATCAGACTCAACCCGGACCTAATCCACACACTCTTTACGGTGCTTTAGTTGGTGGTCCTGGTAAGAATGATGAGTATAACGATAAAAGGGATGATTATATCCATAATGAAGTTGCAACAGATTATAATGCTGGGTTCCAGGCTTCTATTGCTTGTAAGTATTATTTATTTGACTTTGCAGAGTTAATTCGGATTATAAATGGTTATCTACAAGATCGTGAATGCTATTTGTCAATATTATCATCTTTATATATTTATTTAACGTTTCAGGTCTGAAGTCCCTACATCTTCGAGGAAAATTTGATTAAAAGATAGTAAACCATTGCAATTCTGATTGAACTTTGTTTTCTCTAACTACAGAAGAACGATAGTTTTGTTGGTGCGGGAATAAGTACACTGTGAGCTGTGGGAAATCAGTAGGCCTATTAACGTTTACTTTTTGTCAATACTTTCGTAAATTTAATACTGGCAACAGCATACTATGATGTAGGAGGGAGTCTATTGAAAGTCTTGGTAAAACTTGACTCATCATACTGTTAGGAGAGAGGTTCTAACTCATTGGAAAATAAACTATAAAAAGATGGTAATTATCATTTATTTAAACAAAAACACACCGAAAACCAAGGTAAATAGTAAAGCGGAAATACAAAAACCTTAACCATAATTTTAGCAATGAACCAACACCCATGGGTAAATATCGACAGCAATAAGTTGCTTGAAACAAAATGTCACCATCTGGTACTAATAATATACAAATGTGGTCAAACCACCAGCACTATGAAATGCACATTATGGTGACTGCACACTTGATTCATTTCAATAACTTAAGTTTTATTTATCAAAATTCAGAGGTATCAGTTGAAGAGATCCATTATTCGTCTGAAATGTTTACAACATAACACACCTTCCCCAGTCAATGTATAGAAGAGAAAATTGTATCAAAAACAAACACGTTCTTATCTTTTCAATGAAACAAAAAATAAAAGCAGAAAAAATAATCACGGTGATAGAAAATGTAAATATAAAACATTCAATCGTTATACAATGCCAGGTTAGCAGTGGAAATATATTCACAATGGCGCTGTACAACAAAATTCAAGTTCTGTTTACAGTGATCTCTGCATGCAAGATGCTCAGGAAAAATTTATTCCCATGGGAATTATATTGTTTCAAAAAATTTAGTATCAACCATTATATTTGGACATTCAGAGTAAACTTAATCAAAAACATTATTTCCTAATGCAAATCTTCATTCATTAAAGACCTTTTGATACTGAATTGTACATTGAGCATACAAGCGTTCAGTTTATTGATGAATAAAGAAAATTCATTCAACTTGATTCAATGATAAGAGATAACTACGGTTTTATGAGGATAACAAATAACAAGATATAGGGGTTAAACGAAGTTCTGTAGTTTATCCATCAGTCTCAGCATCTTTTTATCTTCACTATCGTATATAAGTCTGTGTTGTTTTTTAGATGATTTAATAACAAGAACTTGTAGTTGCTTATCTGGAAAAAATGACAAAAATAAACACGACTGCATATATATGATATCATAAAACTGGATTTAATAAATTTGTCAGGATATGACAATATATACATTGTCACACTTTGACACAACCACATAAATGACAACTGAAAAATATAAAATTATAAATATAACCTCTGAAACCACGACATAGATTGATATAAAAGTCTAGTAACTTACTTCCTGCACTGTATATTTCTTTTATATCTTTTCGTTTTAACACAGATTTACCAATCAACACTATCAGATCATTGTTGGGATCCTTTTCAAACTTGGCTACAACATTATCTAATCCTTTCCATGTTTCTTTCTTAAAATGACCTAGATAAAAAAATATTGGTACATTATGTTTATAACGTGTTTATAGAGGAAACTTTGTAATTGTTTATCTTTCTCGAATATGTAAAGGGGTGACAGACAGAAATACCGAGGTTAATGACCAATGACAGAAAAAAGCAAATGAGTAGCCTTTCTTTGTGCCCCTTAAATGAGATTTTAAAGGGACGAATTCCGTATTGGGATCGTTTAAACGCTCATCCCCTTACCCCTTCTTACAAAGTCGAAACAAATTTATCTAGAATGTAATTGGTTTATATATCAACCCTACACAGCAATAAATGATCTTATTGAAATTGTCTACCTATTCGACCAATTGGACGTACATACATACCTAAAAGTGTAGGTTTGAATTTCTCCCTTAGTTCGTGAATAGAAACATCTGGATTCGTTATAACGATTTCTAACATTGAGGTAAAGTCTTGTAACAGCTCTTCTGCATCCTGATTATCTGATTGTGAACCACCAATAAATATTTTAAAATATGTCGTATTGGTCTTTTTGTCTGTACTCACTCTCAATGTGGATTGATAAGCAGAGTGGTCATGTTCCTCACTAATTTTCAAATCCATTCCACCTTTTTTATTCTGACGATCCAATTCTTTAAGCATGGTATAATCATTTGCAATCACATAATGTGCATTAAGATTTTGTTTGTCTTCTTCTGATGCAAATTTATACATCTCATCATAAGGGTACAATCCATTGTTTAATCCATGAGTTATGGTCTCTGAATTGTTCTTGAAAAAGTTTATAAAACTTGTGTTGGGTTCTGGTATTTCAGAAAATATAGGCACTGGGTTGACTAAGCACTCTATTTTGCTGAGTAATTCTGCAGAAAACTGTCGTAGATCTACAACTGTATTGACCATTACTCGTTGAGATTTCGACCGGATACTCAACAGCAACTGATACAAAGTAATATATAATTTAAATGGTGTAGTCCCCAATTCTTTTGTGATGGTATCGCATTTCTCCTGTAGGTCTTGTGGAAATTCATTTCCAGCAGTACTGCATGTTCCATCAACAGGTTGATATTTCTTATTCAAGTCCGTGGTTATCATTGGCACTCCTTTCTCAAACTGTCCTTTCCAGAAATCGTGTAATTTTTCTGATTCCGCTTCCAATAGGTTCAGTAAAATCTTATTAGATGGTGTAGGACTCTCCAGAAACATTTGTTGTGGTAAGTTGTTCAACGACTGTGTCATACATAAACGCCTGAGACAAGACGTAAAATCAGCCAAAAACAGATTAACGCCCATCATATCGAATGATACATGAGTGAACACCATAGCTAATCTCATATGCGTCTCGTACATGGCCCAAGTGAATCTAACAGGACCCTCAGATCTCAAATCAAATCTATCTAATTTCCTCTTATTGAAGATTTTTTCAATTTCTGGATCATCTGGAGCTACTTCAACTATATTGACAGCTTTTTCAATTTCCAAGTAGGACTTAGTAATGTCGGTTCTCTCAGGTTTGGTATTTCCTTCTGGCCAATCGTAAATTGTAGTAGCACCCGGATTCCGAATCAATACTTTTTTGATTAATTCTTTAATCTGATCGGTACTGTTGATGAAGTTATGTATATTGCCCAAGTACATTTCGTTTGCCAGATGTAATGCTTTATATAGATCTGTGTTGTATGCCTTGAGATATTTGTGTTCTGAGAAGGATGCAAAATTGTCTTCGGGATCGTCTTCCTCCTCTGTCCTGGAAACAGTGTCACCTTCACAATATTCCTTCTCAATAAACTTAGACAAGAATAAGATGGATGTATCAGGATCAAACAATAAATTCAGTGGTATCTTCACGTTGATGTCTTTCCTGATTTGATTCACTAAAGTCATAGCAAACATAGAATCAAGTCCAGCATCAATCAACCTGGTATCTGAAGACAATAACATCTCTGGTACAGAAAGAATCTTGCTAACCAATTTGGTCAGTTCACTTTCAATAACATTTAGCATGTCTTTTGGATCACAGTCTTTTAACAGCTGGGCAAAATCTGATTCCACTGAAGCGGGATCGAAACTTGCCTTTGGCAGAATTGTGTTTAGCTTAGTTATTGTGTTATAATCATTGAATGCTATCAGGCAGTCACGTAGTTTTTCTAAATCAAACTCGGTAATCACGACTTGATGCCTTTTAGAAAGGATGATTTTTTCCAAAATATCGCCAATTTCATTTTTGCCAATAAAGGTAAAACCCATACCTAAAAGCATCATTCTTGCGCGGTCTTGCTCGGTTCCCTTTTCTAACATTCCCATGTCCAAAGGTCCCCAGTTTAAACTCTGGACCGGTAAACCCATTTTCTTTCGTACAGATATCAAACTGTCTTGGAAAGCATTCCCAACACCATAATTACTTTGTCCAGGTGTACCCAAGATAGCAGTAATGGATGAATGTAGTATAAAGAAATCAAGATTCATATACATGGTAGCCTGATGTAAATTCCATGCTCCGGAAATCTTTGGGTTGAAACATTCTGTCATCTGTTCTTCAGTCATTTTAAATAGAGATGAGTCTCGTGTTACACCAGCACCATGAAGTACACCTTTTATGGGAACATCGGGATAGGTCTTGTTGAATGTACGTATAGCTCCAGTAACAGAACTAAGATTCACTACATCTACTGAATAACATTCTATGGTACAAGATGTTGAACTGGACAATTCTTCAATTGATGCAGCGTCCTCTTCATTTGGGGTTCTTCTATTAAAGATTAAGACGTAACCAGCTTGATGTGTTGCCAACCAGTGAACACATTGCCAACCTAAGCCAGTTAGACCACCAACAACAATATATGCACTGGTTTTACTCAATAATCTATTCGGTGTCAAACGGATTGGTACTTCAAATCCACTTTTTTCTTGAAGATCAATATCAGTCATTGCAAATAACTTTTGTAAAGGGTCTTGTAAATTTGGTTCATCGGTGAGTTGTTCCAGAACGTTTTTGATAGTCTTTCCCCACCTCTTAATTACCCTGGTAACGCCACGTATAGCTTTCCTGATAATTGGTTGTGAAAACATATCATGCTCATTAATTCTCTTTATATCAATGCGATGAGCACTGGTTCTTAAAACTGTTGCCGTGTTAACTGGTAGTAGACTGGAAAATGATACAAAGCTCTTAATTGAATCTTTACTCATGAGGTCATCAACCAGAGCTTGGTCTACGAACGACAAACAAACAACCTTCTTTCCTTCTAGCTTTGTGGCTTTGGAGAAGTCTTGAGGGGTCATGGCCTTAAACTTTGTTCTCTGGACAGCAAAGCAAAAACCGAGCAGAATACCATGGATCGAAAATTTGTAAGGTTGTATAATAATAACCTCTCGTGCTTTTAAACTGGAAGCCAATGTCCAAAGACTGACAAGTGTTGAAAGTAAACCTGGTTTGTAGAATGGTATTGATGATAGAGGCATACAGCAAGATGTCGGAACTACTACCTTATTAGATGCTGGTACTGGAAAACATGATACCAGTAATTCATTTGGTTTCATAGATCGATATCCAATAGTTTCTATACAATATACAGGCCAACCATCATCATTGGCCTTTTCTTGGTCAGCAATAAAAACTGGTAGAAACAATGAAGAATCCTGAAATACCAACTTGGTAACGTTTAACAAAACTGAACCTGGTTGCTCATGTAGTGATGTATTTCTTGTGTACAATTTAAAGACACCCTTTACTTCTGTTTCTGATGTAGAGAACAGATCAAAATCTGCATCACCAGTGTCAGTAATTGATGGGTAAATCTTGCTTCCCGATTCTTCCATATAACGTAACTGGTAACCAAAAACACCTTCTGTAGTGAAGAGCAACTCACCATTATGTAGCCAGTCAGAAGCCAGTTTGTCAAAGACTATCAACAACTGTTCGCTATCTGATGTTCCTTCCAATTCACGGAGATCGACCAAATGAGTAGCTAATGTTCCCAATTCTCTTTGAATAGATCGTGCTCCTCCCCATAAAGATGAATGTATAATATTATCTGGTATCATGATTGTAGATTTGGTGTTCATTTCATCTATAGTCCATGTATTATAGAAAGCGATTAAAAGTCGAATTATATCATGTTTTTCATTGACTTCATTAATACATTCCACTACAACTTTTAACCATAATAAATAATCAGTTACAGCTCTCTGTATTTCAATTCCACCATAATTCTCATCAAAATCACTATTGATAATTATGGCAACATATCTATATTCATTTAGTGTTTCTCTTAACTTCTCTATATCTTTATTATTGTCAGTCAATGGAACAACAACATTAACCTCTTCATCTCGGCTTGGTCGTTGTTTAACAGATACAGTCACAAACTTTTCTGACATCAGTTCTTCTATTTGCTTGGATTGGGGCATCAACTTCCAATTTTGCTCAAAGTAAATCTGCTGTGGCAGTTTGTCATTTTGACCAATAACTTTTGCTGTGAAGCTTTCTATACTAGCTATCGGTTGTCCACTTAATGAACACAGGATCAATTTAAATCTTATGTTAACTTCAGTAGAAGAAGGACTTCTCTGGACGTATACCAGCATATCATCTTTGAGTTCTCCATGAACACGTAATTTCTCAATGTTGACAGGTATAACTTGTGTGCCGTCGTCGTTAGAACTACCAATAGCTATAGTTGACTGTAACATACTGTCAATAATTGCAGGATGTAAGATTGTACCATCCATTTCTTGCTTTAAAAGATCGTTTAGCTTAAGCTCTATCAAGGCTTCGAATTCATTTTTTACTGCTCCCTGCAAAATTGTCATGGCTTTACCATACGAGAAACCAAACATGCTCAAATCAGAGTAAATCTGTTTACCAGGTAATGAGATATCACAACGACTTCTGATTTCTTCTACGTTTAGGACAGGATATGTCTGGTTAAAAGTTAAAACAATTGATCCAGTACAGTAAACGTTATTTCCCTCAACTACTGTAAAATCAGTTCTGTCATCAGTTATATCTAACTTGGCTTCAAGGTCCCTCGTTTCTCTGTTGAATATGATAATTGGGTTTCTAAATGCCACAGTCACTTCACGGAACGAAACTGTTGATGATTTCAGAGCAGAGATTCCAAGACCGACCTCAGCATATGTAGCTCCAGGAACCATAACATAACCGTTAACTCTATGTTCATAGATGGATCCAATTTTAGTCGGGTCTAAAACAACTTTGACGACATTCTTCTCTGTACCCTTTGACTTGACCATTGGATGCTGTTTCAATATGGAACTGACACCATTAAGTCGATCTTGAGTGGGAGTGGGGACGTACATGTTATAAATTCTGTTGAACTTATATTTTGGATATTCGACAGTATTAGCTTTGGTATTATCAAAGTTATCCCATTTAAGATGTTTTCCATAGTTGTAGAAAGAGGCCATCGTCTTGGTTATGCAATTTATTTCGTCATTCACGTTCATCAGAGGTATGGAATCAAACAGTACTTGGTCAGGGAATATGCTTGGTAGATGAGCTCTCAAAATTGGTCTGGGTCCTAATTCAACAAAAATATTATATTTAGTAGGATCATGGGCTTCAAGAACAGCTTGGTAGAGTTTAACTGGTTTTCTGATGTTATCCGCCCAATATTGTGGTGTAATAAAATCTCCTTCTTCTGCCTTGACACCACTAACAGTAGAAAATACATCTATCTTTGGTTCTTCTCCAATTATTTCAGCACAGCTTTTCATCTCGTCTGCACTTTTAGACATATGATGAGAATGAAAAGCACTAGTAACATTCAGATCTATAAACATACAACCTGTATTAACCTCTTTGATATCTTCTTTTAATTTGTCCACTACATCTTCATCACAACTTATAGTACAGCTCATCGGACTACTGTAAACAGATACATTAGCTTCTGATTCATATTTCTCTAAAATCTCTTCTACTTTATCTATTTCAATATTTTTAGCAACAAACATTTTGCCACCAGTACCTTGAACCTGTACTCTTGTTCTGTGATAAATAATATACACAGCTTGTTCCAGAGTGACGGTACCAGAAGCAAAGGCAGCAGCTACTTCACCAATAGATTGTCCAATGATAGCATCGGGATTAATTCCAAAACTTTCCACTAATACGAACAACGCTACTTCACAAGCAAATGTCATAATTGGAGCGATGTTAGCATCCTCTAAATCAAATCCATTTTGAAGATTTTCCATTAAGTTCCAGTTAGCATATCGTTCAAGATATTTGGAAATGTCTTCAATGGTAGAACGAAATACTTTAAATCTTTTTAGCATTTCCTGACACATTCCTTGCCAATTTGTTCCTAAACCAGCAAAAACAAAGATATACTTCTTTCCTTTAGCTGGCTGGTATTTCACCATCACATGTTTGTCGACATCAGTACCTTCTAGAATTTGAAGAACTTCGGCAGTATTTTGACCAGCTACAGCCAAACGGCATGGATAATGATCTCTTCTATATATTGATGTATATGATAAATCAGCAAGTTGCAGATCTTTAGCGTTTTCACACATAGCGTCTTTAATTCGCTGAAGAGCTGGTGGTTCGATTGCCGAGATGCAAATGACTTTTGGTATATCATGCCCAGAGAAAAGTCTCATACATCTGTTCTTTGGTGTTGTAACAATAGCATGACAGTTACTTCCACCAAAACTAAAGCTATTTACTGAAGAGCGGAGAAAATCTCTCTCCGTTTCTGGCCATTGATTTGATTTCACTGGAACAGTAAATTTGAATTCTTCCAAGGGAACCTCTGGACTTGGTCTTTCAAAATGGAGAGAAGGAACGATTTGATGGTGGTAGTGCATCAATATAACCTTAATCAGACCTGCTACACCAGCTGCCGATTCGAGATGACCAATGTTTGTTTTTACCGAACCTATTATTTTTGGTGTTGAATTTTCGTCAGTCTGGAAAAATGTCCCAAGAGCTTTTACCTCAACAGGATCCCCTGCTTTAGTTCCCGTTCCTGAAATAAATGAAAACATTGAATAAGTGGTATAGTGGCAATGGTAGTTGATCGACAAGGGACATGTATACTAAATAAGTAATGAAATTGAAAGCTTTCAGTAAATTGTTTTAGATCAATTAATCAGTGGAGAACATGAAATTGATCACATTTACATACCATGAGCTTCAATATAATCAATACTCTGAGGATCAACATCAAATCTTTTAAATACAATATTTAATAATTCTATTTGTTGTTGCATAGATGGTGTAGTTATTGGCGAGACTGTATGACCATCATGATTAGAAGCTGTGGATACTGTCGCCCAGATTGGATCGTTATCTTCTAGAGCCTGTAAAATAATTTTGCAAATTGTTAAAAACTTGAATCATTTCAATATTGTATGAAAGTTTAAGTGTAGTGATTGGAGTCGACAACGTGGCACAGGTTTCTTCGTTCTTCACAAATACAAATTATTCTAATTGAATTATATCATTTCTTAACATCAGACACCCCGATATATATGCTATATAGGGTAATTTTTTTTTTCACTGACCTTCTCATATGATTTTAATATGACAATTCCGCACCCTTCACCGCGAGCATAACCATCAGCATTCTCAGAGAAAGCTTGACATTGTCCTGTTGGTGATACCATACCAGCTTTACTGAGCTGGATGAAATTATCAGGTTTTAGAAGAGCATTAACACCACCAGCAATACACATGTCACATTCACCTGCAGACATAGAAGACAACGTCCCATTTTAAGGAACAAGAAATGTAGCAACCACACGTTTCTTCTTCTCACATAGTATATCAAAAAATACTTTTCTGATTAGGAAACATGTACATGTATAGGCTAAACAGGACAGGTAAGATGCACATGAAGAATAACCAGGACAAGTGGGATGCATTTATACCTGCTCAGACAGAGGAAATACATGTACTGTAGCGATTTAAAACAGTCCATCAGCTAGGTATAATATTCAGAATATATGTTTCATGCGAAATTTCTATGTTGCCTATGTCTACTTATTTATTACATAAATGTGAGAAAATAAAAATGAAATATCATGACATTGTGATTAAGCTGAAGTTCACACTACGGTGTTCAGAGGACACTCACACGACAGGCAAAATTCTCATGACCGTGTAGGTCGAGTGTAAGATAAAAATTAACGTGGACAAGTCGAAAACCCTGATGCATTGGGTAAGGTTACCTGTAATGATTGCCTGGTGAGCGTGGTGAATTGCCATCAGAGATGAAGAACAAGCTGTATCAATGGTCATTGATGGACCATGTAGATCAAATGTATAATTCACTCGTGATGACACGATGCTGTTATTGGTACCAGTAATAGTATGATTATCAAAATCGCCAAAACTCTCAGCAAAATTTGTTGAGTAATCACTGTTCATTATGCCTATAAACGTATTATTATAAATAAGTTGTAAAGTTTAACTCCTTTACTTAGTGTAATATATTTCCAGAAAATTTGTTTTTTCAAACCTAAATGCTTATCTCATCCACAAAAGAAGACAATGCTGAAACTCACTCATCTTTCCACAACGGGTGACTAAATATCTTATTATATCGGAATAGATGACGTTTCTACGGAAGCTCAAATACGACATGATTTTGTATTTTTGAATTTCTAATTTAAAATTTGAATATTGAGTTTGAAATTTGAATATTGAGTTTGAAATTTGAATATTGAGTTTGAAATTTGAATTTCGAATTTGAAAAAATAATTTTGAATTTGAAATTTTAATATTGAATTTGAAAAAATAATTTTGAGTTTGAAATCTTAATTTTGAATTTGAAAAAATAATTTTGAATTTGAAATTTTAATTTCGAATTTGAGATTTTAATATTGAATTTGAAAAAATAATTTCGAATTTATTTTCTGTTTCAGTGACTGGTGTATTCAAGACTATATATACTATACAAACGAGCCTGGTCACTCTTACTGAAATGGTTTCCTATGGAGACGCCAATTTTATTTAAGGACTGCATCGCCTCTTGCGGCTGGATGCCAAACTTCGGAAAGCCCATGCCCGGACCCTTAATTGCTTTGAATAAAACTGTTAAAAACTCAAGTACTACGTCCATATAACCATCGCGTTGGCTCAGTATGTTAGAGGCGTTTTTGCTATCCCGAAGGTCCAGAATGATACTTTCGGATTTTTCAACCCGCTGTCCCTCTATCAGTGATACAGGTTAGAATCGCTGCGAGGAAAAGGCGTCTAGTTGTGCGGATGGGACATTAAACCGAGGGTTGTGCAAGTTGTAAATCGAAAATAAGAGTAAATTAATGCTGCTATCCTGGAAAAATTTCTCTTATTGCACACTGTATGGCCATGACCTTGCCTCATTAGCCTCAAAGGGTGAAAAAAGTATGACGTAAAACTCCATTTCATTTCAGTTAATTTTGTCATGTGGTCGGTAAATCGAAATTGTCGATTTTGTCAAAGCAAATTTATATATCAGCTTTAAATCACTAATCAATTTGGAATCCTTCCGTGATCAGAAACACACTTCCCTGCCAGAAATGTCATCCGAAAATTGCCTTGATTCATTGACCTTGTGTTTCAATTCCCCGAACATGAACAGAAACCCAGTTATGTAACTCATTTTTGTGAGTCGCTTAATAAAATGTAGTCTTCCTAAGAAACCATTGCTCAGAGTGACCAGGCTTGTTTATGTAGCCCTTTTCTCATAGTCTTGAATACACCAGTCAAAAAAATAAATTATTTTTTCAAATTCAAAATTATTTTTTCAAATTCAAAATTATTTTTACAAATTCAAATTTTTTTTTTCGAATTCAAAATTCAAATTTCAAATTCAAAATTATTTTTACAAATTCAAATTCAAAATTCAAATTTCAAATTCAAATTTCAAATTCAATATTATTTTTTCAAATCCGAAATTCTTTTTACAAATTCAAAATTCAAATTTCAAATTCAATATTCAAATTTCAAATTCAAAATTATTTTTTCAAATTCGAAATTATTTTTTCAAATTCGAAATTATATTTACAGATTCGAAATTATATTTACAGATTCAAAATTCAAATTTCAAACCCAAAATTATTTTTACAAATTAGAAATTATTTTTTCAAATTCGAAATTATTTTTTCAAATTAGAAATTCAAAACTACAAAATCATGTCGTATTTGAGCTTCCGTACGTTTCGGCTGCCAAGAACTGATGTCGTAAGATTACCTACCAATGTAAACGCCAGTATTGGATCCCTTGATTTCCTTTCGTGTTATTCCTGCACTTTCTAAAGCCATGTATGTCGAATCTAATATAAATTTATGTTGAGGATCCATTCGTAAACTTTCAAATTCATTTATTCCAAAAAATTTATAATCCCAATAATCATACCTAAAATTGTACGATTGAAAAAACTTGGGATAAACATGCAAAAAGAATGACAAATAGGCGTTTACTTCCCAATGTACTTTGCCGGAATGCTTTCTTGAAATTGCGTTATCAAATACATTTACTTTAAAACAACAGGTACGATACAGTCGAATTTTTGATTATTGCGTTTTAAAATGGTTTTAAGTTTATCATCAGCACAAAACTCATCAGCTCTTTTTTTACAAATATATGATTAAGTTTAAGGATTGTTACAAGGAATACTTAAAACTTACTCTTTCACAAATCCAGCTCTACGAACATTGGTTTTCCCGGGAGTAGTGGGATCTTCATCATAGAATGCCTCCAAATTCCATCGGTTTGCTGGTACTTCAATAACATGGTTTTCACCATTTTTAAGAACTTGCCAGAATTCATCGACGTTATCTGCTCCTGGAAACCGGCAGCCAATACCAACAATAGCTACCTTGGTCATTTTTGCTATAAAAATATATTAAAAGTATTTCTAAGCATTACTTCCCGGGGCAATTGGATACTTTAGTGTAAATCGCAATGAAAGAAAGTCTACTACTATTTATCAAATTAAAGTATAGCAAGGAGGAGATTACAGAGTGGAATTAATTTATGTCCCTATCAATATTGGTCGCAGATTCGAAACGCTCGGATCAGGTTACGACCAAATCTCATTGTTTATCGTCCAAATGCCCGTCTGTCTGCCCGTCTGTGCGTCGGCCCGTCCATAATTCCAGATTTTGACGAAACCTGGGGTAAGATTTGGTTATTATTCAAGGATGAACCTTATTGAAAATCAGACAAAATATTTAATAGGATTTATTCTTGAAAAACTAGTTCAATTTTAAGCTCGCAAACACCCTAGTGAGGATAGATTTATGATTGTTCTTTATGAGCCCTTGTAACCACGTGACAGAATTTGACGAAACTTAGTGAAATTGACTATTATCAGCCAAGGATGAAACCTATTAAAAATCCCCAAAATCGAAAAATTATGTTATGGCCTTTGTTCATGAAAACGTGTTAAATTTATTTTAGCATTGTTCATTTTTTTCACTAGCATGATTAAAGTGCTAAAAGAAGTGTTAGACTTAAGGCTGAATATTTCATACTGATGATTGTTACTTTACTGCCATATATTTTTATATCTAAAATCAAAATTGCAAGTGGCGTACATTTCGTTGGGTGACAAGCTATCTTTCTAGATAGTAGTTCAAAAGCAGCTGGTGACATCAACCCCCTTAAAAATAATGCCTCGTTTGATACCTCTCGTGATTACCGTGTTCACGGGGTCAATGTTGTAAATTTAGATAGTGGGTTTATATCTCGTATTTACTACTATAGAAGTCATGAAAATGGAGAAAAAATATCGACACCCATTTTCACGACTTCTCCGTCCTTCACCTCCACCCCGTAAAAATAGCCACAACTTTCATTTTGATCAAGTTAATTTTTTATTTAAAGTCTTCTGACAAATTTTTTTTATTGTCGTCATGACATAAATACCACTAAATGTTAATAAATAGTTTGGAAATGGAATATTAAATATAATTTTGTCAATTATCTTAGTTATGAAGTCGTAAATATTGTCCGAACAGTCTCCATTTTAGCGCACGATTTTTGGACTTCAAGAAAGTTGTAAACACTATTTTCACGAGAGGTATCGAATGGAGCATAAATTATGAGCAGCTTGTGTCAAATATTCTAAATGTATATTGTCAGCGCTGTTCCTCTATGATCGAGTCGTTTTTACTTGAGAATTTGTCGTTGAAAGTAACCCTTTAAAACCCTATCCATGGAAACCTTACGACAGTGTTAAGGCGATCCGTTAGTCGGAGAAATTAAAGGCTGGCGCACCGATTTTTATTAGGCCGATAATATCGGAGGCGAAAAATCGGCAAGAGTGCGCTGGTCCACGGCAGCCCTACAACAAAATCGGGAGCGATCGGGAGATATCTTGTATGTTTGATCGAAAGTCGTACTGACGTGTCCTAGAATTATAATAGAATTCCAGGTATGAATCATGTGCTCACTTCAACATGGCAGCTTCCAAGAACCCAGTGTCGTCATCTTCATTTCCAGAAGAAAGAAATTGGATAGTCAACACGGACGACAAAAGTTGCACAAAAAATAATCGGATAATGTGCGCCTGACTTTAGTGATGTATAGACTGTGGGGCTAGGAGCCAATTACAGTCTAACTTGGTCTAACGGTCACCTGTACCACCCTTTAATGAACGGTATTGTTATCTCTCCTAGCTGGGTAAACTATATACCTCTATTAGGCACCGCCCCTAAATATGCAGCCACGTTTGAGCATTCCCTAGACTGGCTGCTTTGACCTAAGCAGCTTTGGAAATGTGGCGAAAGATATAAAAAATGTCCTTGTGATTTTATATAATTTCCTTGAATTATTAATGAAAAGTAATCTATGAGAAGTGAAACGGCACAGAACAAATAGGATGACCTCACTAGAGAGTTATACAGATAATTCTAATGTCTTCATTATATTTTTTTTTATCCAAAGCAGTAGTTATGTTCAATGTTCTGAAAGCAATATTTAAAAAACAAAATCTATTTACCATGTTCGATAGATTAAAATAGCAGTAGCAAACTGAAAAAGTGTGAAAAGGTTCTTAATGATTAGAAATCATTTTCCTTGCATTTATTTTTATCTTAATAAGTCTTGAAATAGTAATCGGAAACATAATAAAATTTTGAGAAAAAAAAAATTACAATTTAAAACTATAGAGAAAATTTTAGAACTTAGGAATATTCAGTAGTTGTCAGTTTTGAAATATTTTGCTATACATTCAGCCGCAAACTTTTCAATCTGAACAAAAAAATGAAACAACTTACTATCACGGTGTACAACCAGCACAATACATCAACTTGGTGCTGAAACTTTTAAATAGTGACCTTTTATTATATAATTTTTAAAATGAATTATATAAATACAATAGGGGTGATTGGTTGGCACAAAATCACGTGATGTCTTTTATAATAATTTGAGCCAATTATATAACCGATACGTATATGACAATTTCATGTCAAACGAAACCTACAAAACACGTGTTGTAAACTGTTCAAAAAAGTTATAATTCAAGTTTATGTCCAAAGGTAAGTGGGTTTTAATATAGTCTGAACTAACAATGTAATAGGCCTAACTTTGCTGGCACCAATATACGTTTTGCAATATTCATACCAACAAGAAAATCGAATTAATAATAACAAAAAGAAATATTGAAACTCAAACGCGCATCTTTGCTATCCTTTGTGGTGGCGGTAAATTAGTAATATGATAAATGGTTTTGTTTCTCTATGTTAAATTTTTCCATTAGTGTTTGTGTTATTTAATTGATGTCTATAGTCTTTTATCAATTTGATTTGCTGTAGCTATTGCTAAATATTGAGTATTACGTCAAATAAAACTTTGAAAAGATTGGAAAACGAATGCTGAATGCTGAAGAAGATCATAGTATAAGAATAGGGACGGTTCTTGCAACGGTTAAAATAGACAGTGGTGGTACGACACTAAACAGTCTCAATGCATTTTGCTATTCCCGTTAGCAAGTAGTCTCTAATAAGAAAGTTTTATTGGTTAGTAAATTGTCATGGCTTATTCCAATAATTTTTCCTGGAGGGTTGTCACCAATGTCACTAATTAATGTCCAAAAAAATGCTCCTGTAACTAAAAATTATCTCACGTTTTCTTTATCTCATAGTATATAAATATGTGACAATTGTGTACAGGTGGCATTCATAACCATCCAGTTAACATACACTGAGATTCAGTCCCTGTATCTTGAAATGACGAATGAATTGAAATGTGGACGGACAAACACCTTGCAGGATATTGACCAGTGGTGTAAGCCAAAGCTTTTTTGTTCTGCGACTGTCGAGGGGTCTGTAACGTACACAGAATGTGGAAAACCGGACCTCGGTTTCTTGTCCCATCCGAACGACAAGAGGTTTTAAGCACTTCATCCAGTCGTCCCACCTGCGTCACTGACAAAGGGAAACTGGGATGATAAACCCGAAGGTATTTTCGCGTATTTTCGTACTTATGCCAAGATTGAACTTGGATTTGCAGTTTAGGACTGAGCCACCGAATTTAAGTTTGCATTTGAGTGATTCAATTGTATATTGTTGTAAATTGCAATATAACAAGAAGAGCGTTGTCATTTTATATAAAACATAGAAGACAAGAGCAATTTAATCTGACAACTTATCCAATTCGTCAGTGGACTTTGTAACGTTTAGAAATAAATGTCTTTCTGGACATTTATTCTTTTAATCTACATAATTATTATGTAACATAATATACTTTATATATGTTAATCATGCTGTTTTGTTCCTATAGCTTCAAAATAGATTCATTAGCTCACCTACATTCAGGTAAAGTCTTCCTGTTCATATTACAGAGACGGAGGTATGGTTATATTTCGATGTTACTCAGATGTTGGGTAAAAACCATTGTCAAGACAAAAACCATCTAAAACGCGACATTATATCAAGGTTCAAATTAATAAATGGCATATCCATCCATATTTCTCAGAACAAGAATGACATCTATACATGCTGCTTCAGATGAGAAGTAGATTTATAGCAGCGTGTTGAAACCTTGAGGCATTTATTTCAATTGAATGCAAATCCCTCTTTTTTTTCTCGAAAACCGTAAACATCTCTCATAAATATTGTAAAATTATGTTTTTCATATTTTTGTTGTTATTTATTAAAATGTCATAAACGAAAGTGCTAGTTCATAAATTACAAACTTATATAAACACTTATGAATATTTAAACAATATGTAAATAATGCTAAAACAAACTAATAAATCAATCCCTTCCCAAATATTACAGAACTTTAAAGTTTATTTTAAAGTTTGTTCACGTCCAAGATGATCAATATTCTGTTGAGTCAGGCCTGCAAGGTTTCGGTTGTTACCATCAATGAAGTTACCCACTTTAGAGAGTTCACTTTGTTTTAGCACCAAGCCAGGGCAAATAACAGATTGAATTGAATGACAAATACCACAACGTTACGAAGACGTTTAATATCGACAAAGTGATTCAAAGTACATTGAGTTGCTATTTGATAAGTTATCTATTTTTGATTAAACATCTCTCCGTTATTTTTTTTAAATATAGTTCGAAAACAGACATGATATTCAAATAATACTTTTAGTTCAAGGGAGACAAAAAAAACTCTAAATTTATTTTGAAACATATAAACCATTAAGAAATATTAGCTGAGCAAACTCTATAGGGCAAGCCTACATTGTAACGACACTAGCATAGTTTTACCATGTTTTTGCGTCCTAGTATTCTGAACCTTTCTTGACCAGTGAAGATCGGCATCGCCTAGTAGTGAGCATTTAGAACCGCGACAATCGTCGACTCTTTTGTGTTTCCAAATTATAGAATGATCCTAAACGTACACTTCCTGTAGCACTGGGGGTGATCAAATGCTTAAAGCTAACAAGTTGAGGTATGATCTCAGGGAGAGTCTTATTGCCTGAACAGTCATTGGTTTATTGGTTTGCAAAACAGTCAATACACTTTTTATTATAACATAATATATGCGTGTAACAGTTCCTCGTATTACATCATGTTGTATTTCCTTGAGGGTTATTACAACATAATTTATTATTCATGATATTAATATTTCAGATAATGTTGAAGGTTTCCGTGTTTATTCATGGTAAATAACAGTATTAATGCCACATAACAAAAAACAGTGTCGCTTTTCGTTGTCCTAAATGTCATTCAATTTATAATAAACTTTGTCTGAGTTACAGTTCACCTCGGGTATATTTTCAAGAAATTTGACACAGAGCAAGAAAGAAATTGTCTATCTTGAATCCCAGCAAGTCAGAGGGTGTAAAAAGAGTACGATTTGGCCAACGTGGACCGAGTTTGAAGTAATGATGGATAATTTCAATATCACCTTAAAGCTGAAAATCAAATATATTTATTTTTTCGATAAAGTTAAAAAATCTTTTAATAATGTATCTATAATGTTTACTTCACCAACTTTGCTGTTTTGATTCGTTGTATGAAAATATTTGGTACATAATGATAGTATTTGTGCTATCAAATCATATTTAATTACATAAGTCATTTTTATAACATGATACATGCAATTCATAATTTCTAGACATTTTTTTACCATATATTGATTGGATATTGGGGCGTCAGTTTTTGATACCTTTAAAACGCCCGAAAGAAATTTTTCACATTATATTCGCCCATAAAAATTTAATGTAATGTTATTATGTGATTTACTATGTCGACAAATGACATGTTCCTCGAACAGAGAATTGTGCTACTGTGTTTCATCTTCATAATTTATAACTTTAGACTGTTATACGTGACAACTATAATTCGCTGAGCAGAATTTCAGACAGTTTTTAGAAGCTTGTAAATTGCTGTTTAATGTCTTCTTTACATAGATATTTATTAAAGTTGAAAATTATGGACGTTTGATACCGGTTGTCATTAATTCTCGTCAGTATAAAAATGCACTTGTCTTGTATGTACAATTGTACATTAACAGTAATTCATATTCAGCGTTATTTTCGACAACAGTTTTCCACAAAAATGACTAAAACTTTTTGCAAATATTTGCATTAAGTTATGTGTTAAACATTCAATAGTAATGGCAAATAGAACTGAACATCTTATCTTGGTATGTTAGTACATGAGGGTATAGTTAGCTGGTGATGTACTAGTGTAATTTAGTACAACCTTTATTTAGTTTTATTTATTTCGAAAACCAAGCCATGTGAAACTCGAGAAGGTTAAGTATTTATACCTATGCCAAGTTATTATTCAAGCCAACATACCCATGTCAAATAAATACCTTCTACGTTTTATTTATTACATTTTCAGACAAATAAAATTTTTCGTTATGTAAGGGCAAATTTAGGGTCAACTAACCAGCATTGCGTTTTGTTAATGTTAGCTTAAGCAAAAAATATTATTCAGTATGTATCGATCATTCAATGGTTGACTAATTGTCGATATTGTTCTAGAGTAATGCGATACCAAAAACGTTTTATCTTTTAAATATGTTGCCCGAATCTTGAAGTGTTTGTACACAGATAAAAGGTGCTACAATCCGTTAATTGCCTATTCTAGAAGTAACAGGTTGAATTAATCAAAACGAATATTTAGCAAATAACATTTATTCAATATACTTAAATATAGCCTGCAACTTAATGTAACATACGCCCACTGGCAATTGTTAGATATAATAACGATTTGTTGAAATGTAACCCAAAAAGCTTTGAATGTATCGATACCTCATCAATCTACACGTAGCTTGATAGTTTTCTTCAAAAAGGTTTCGACATGCTTTTGAGAAATGACCAAATCATACAAATTAACAAAATCAATCCAAATTTTGAATGAGTTTCACTTACTATAAAACTCATAAAACCTGTCATCAAAATAAGGCAAATTAGAAACTGACCTGGTCTAATCATCAACATACAAAAATTGTGTAACAAAAACATAATTTCTACTCAGGGCGATATCTCAAAAAACTGTTTATCAAATTATTGCCCATTTAAAACCGACAGCGCACCACTATGAAAATATATATTAAGATCGGATAAAACTGTTGTTGAATTATTGACTATTACGAATCGAAATCTCATCAATACATAAATATATCCAAAGTTGAATCAAGATCAGATAAAAACTATAATCCCTTTTGTGTCTACAAGAAATGTGGACCGGCCGTCGCCCGGAGCGACGACAATATATATATATTTTCATGGGCGTCTTCAAAGTGATTTATCTGGAGATACCTTGTACTTGTAGACATTATTTTTCTTATTCAGATAACCATATAAAATATGTAGATACTGGTCGAAACCATATATTATATTCTTAGTTTTGACATAAAAAGACACCTTATATAAGAAATATTATTTAACCTTCTATTTTATGGCCTCATTTCTTATATAAAATTGTCGTGACCCTATTTACGAAAAATTAATTTAATACGGCTTTAGTATTTTCCATGGATGCTACCTTCTTATATTCTGAAAACTTAACACTCTTTTGGATAAAGGTTCTCTCGCCCCAATCCATCTATCCGTTCGATTTTATCATATCTTGATACAACTTGGTATGCATGTATAATCTGAAGAGATCTCGATGTCGATATTTTGAGTTATTTGCCCTTGGCTTAATAAAAAGAGAGCCTCAAACTTGATGAAGCATGTATATATATTGATGTTATCTCGGAAATGCATTGCTTGACATTACTCGTTCAGCACGAGAAAACAAACAACGTTTCGCTAATTTAAGGCAAGGACGCTGTCAGCAAAAACAGTATTGAATTTACAGAGGACATATCGACCTTTCTGAATTGTATCTAAATTTCAACGATTTCCTGGTTTCTTTATGACTTTGTATTTTAACTGTAATGTTTGCAAATAATTTTTAATTTGAAAGATGCATGATTTATAGCTCATAAAAGACACAATAAATATTCTAAGGTTTACCGGGTAACTCAATTCCGACATTTCTGAAACGTAATAAATCTAATTCAATGACATTTACTGAAACTTGATGTAATACATGGTCTAATTCAAGCTTCCGGAAGATTTTAATTATGTCGTAAAATATATCTTTAAAGGTGCGATGTACTTTATTTCGGCAACTATTGAACTCTCTGAAATAATGTTTTGAAATAGATAGGCCAGGCAAATATATTATTTTGCAATAACTGCTGGGATATGAATGGTTTTTTTGGCAGTTGGTATTTTCAGCCATAGATTAAAAAGTTGTTATGTCACTATTTTTCTAACATCTTTATCTGTCCCTCGTGAAAACGTGAATGTATCCTACGAATTCAGAGTTTAAAGAAATAACAATTTTGATGTTAATATGTGTTATTAATTTTTAACAATAATTTCAGGGAAGATGGGTTGTCAAGGCACTTGTGTTAACCTCATCGGCGTTGCCTTCGATAAATATGGACGTTTTGTTGCACGGCATCCATGGTGGTTCATAATGGTACCTATAGTGGTCAGTGCTGCTTTGGGAGTAGGTCTAATGAAACTAACTTCAGAAGACGACTTAGAGACACTCTATGTCCCTATCAATAGCCAATCAGCTAAGGACAGAGAAGTAATGGATGAAATATTTCCAGATAAATCCGATTCAAATTTTTATCTGCATAATATTGCCAGATTGAATATGAATGGCGGATTGATGATAAAAGCTAAAGATGACGGAGATCTCTTGAGACAGGAGGTCGTGGATGAAATACATGACATTATAGCTCAAATCAAAAGTGTAAATGTTACATTCAACGATACGACATTTGACTATTCTGACATCTGTGCCATGAGGAATGAAGAGTGTTTTATCACTGGAGAACAACTTCTTACTAAAAGCTTTTTATCTCAATACAACGCTGATCAAATTACCTATCCTAACTGGAGAGATTCATACGGCTTTGAAGTTCATCTTCCTTACATTATCAACTGTTCTGGTGAAAACGATATTCTCAAGTCTGTGAAAGTAATGAAGGTCACTTTTAATCTTCGTCAGACTCAACGTGAACAGAGTGAGAAATGGGAACAGGCATTTGTTAAAGCAATGTCTGATATAACCACAAACCTGACAGAGCTGGTATACACTACATCAACATCATTAGATATTGAACTCACTTCAAATATTCAATCAGATATCGGATGGTTCTCTCTCTCCTTCACCTTCATGATAACTTATGTTTCTTTTGCTGCATCAAGTAATAATATGGTAGCTAATCGAGGTCATTTAGCTCGTGCTGGTGTTATTGGTGTTCTCCTAGCTATCCTTGCTGCTTTTGGAACTTGTGCTGTTGGTATAGACTTTGTAAATATTGTTGGTGTGATGCCTTTTCTTGTATTGGGTAAGTGATAATAAAAAAGAAATAGTCATATGTATCAAAAAAAGTGAGACCTTCCATACGAGTGAATTACGTTGAACACGATATCCGAATTCAGCCGAAATGGGTTATTTCTATATGGATAAAATTTACCCCTGATACTCTCTTTTGTAGGTGTTGGAGTAGACACAATGTTTGTAGTGATGTCAGAATGGGCAGAACATTATGATGAAACTTCTGTAGAAGATCAAATGGGTGCAACATTGGAGAAATGTGGTGGATCTATTAGTATAGCATCTTTAACTGATATCATAGCTTTTCTTATTGGTGTTACTTCACAATTTATAAGTATTAGAAACTTCTGCGCTTATACAGGTAAATAGACAAGGAAAGATGTCTAGTCCTTAGTTTGTAATAGTAAACAGACATGTAGTTCACTCAAAGATCCTTCGGGGATGCAAATCGATCGAGCGGTCGGGCATAAGGCAAAATATTATACGATCACATAGGAGATTAGTCATTGTCGAGTCTGTGTTTTCATTGCATTCTTATTTTGGCATTCCAAGGCCAATTACTACAAAAATTAACATCAAAATATTTTGAGGGTGTATCCAACTTAAGGTCCTTACAAATATACATAAGTATAATGAAGTTCATCACAATATTAGTGTAGCCTATCTCAAATATTAAATACAAGCCCATTTAAAAGGTATTTAAGTACACGTTGTCAAGATCTCTCATGATAAGTTTCCAACAGGGGAGAAGGGATAAAGCTAAATAAAGGGATATCTTGGCTACATCAGAAGAAAGTACGCACGTTGATGTATACTTATTGTGTATATTACATCAATTATTTTCACTCAATTATATTTTATGAATATTCTAAAATAGTTATGAATGAATAAAGTTGGGGGCCACTAAAACATTTCAACTCTTATATATTAATTTTCAGCGGTTGCTTTGTTCTTCAGTTTTCTGTGGGATTTGACATTTTTCATGGGATGCTTGGCTGTACATGGCCAAAGAGTACGGGCCCGTCGTTGCTGCATGACTTGCTTAGTGGTACCAGACAGATTTAGAAAATGGAAATCACCCGAGAGACGTGAAGAAGATGAAAGTTTGTGTGAAAAAGTCCCTCAATTGCTTTTGAAGATATCGATGTCGGATGCTGCTGTTTTGACTGTTAAGATTGTTATTATTTTGTTGTTTACGGGATATGTGGGTGCTTCTGTTTGGGGTATTTATAACTTACAACAGGGTCTGGTACTGAACAATTTGGTGAATGATCAATCTTATTTTAGGCTGTTTGAAGACTGGAATCGAGAATATTATAAAACTGTTTTACCCATCTCGCTGGTATTTCAAGATTTAGATTTTTCAAAGGACAGAGATGTTAATGCTATGTATGAAGTATTTGATACTTTCCAAACAGATTCCCATATAACCAACAATTCTCTGATTTGTTGGTACGAGGAGTTCAAGAAGAGCATGCTATTCAACGACACCACTCATGAAGTATTTGTCACAAACTTAAAAGATTTTATGTTTTATGCGCCTTCCTTGTCAAATGATGTTACTTTCACCTCTGATGGTTCTGATATTCTTGCATCAAGATGTCATTTTATAACTGGGGACATCCCTGATTCCACAGACCAGGGCAATCTTATGTTACACGTTCGAGAACTGGCAGCAGAATCAGACTTAAATGTATTCCCGTACAGTGCTCCGTTTATATATTTTGAACAATATGTAATGGTGTTACCAAGTACCCTACAGACAATGGGTATTGCAGTAGCTTGTATGTTTGTTATTACTATTTTGTTTATGCCCCACCCTATCATGGTAACACTGGTCACTCTTAATATGTTCAGTATCTTGGCAGGAATTTTAGGTTTCCTTTACTACTGGGATTTATCATTAAGTTCTATCACTATGATACATTTAATCATGAGTGTGGGATTTTCTGTAGATTTCAGTGTGCATGTTTGTCATGGTTTCATTTCCTCGGAATCAGAAACCAGAAATCAGAAAGCTCGTGACGCCATAAGGGTTGCAGCAGCTCCTATTTTAAACGGTGGCATCACATCCTTGTTGGGTATATGTATGTTAGTTGGTTCCGAATCTTACATCTTCAGGTCCTTTTTCAAAATTATGGTTTTGGTAATCATTTTCGGATTAGCCCATTCTATGTTGCTTTTACCAGTGATTTTATCACTTGTTGGTCCCAAGCTAGGACAGGCAGACGAAAAAACTACTGATTTCATTAAATCTGTTCCACCAACTATTCAAAACGGTCACTCAAAAATGCCATCTGAAGATAAAAATACGTATTACCTTAACCATGCTTATGATAATTAATCTCTTAACTTGACAATCCTTGAAGGTAAAAATAACTAAAAAAAATGTGTTTTGAGAAATAGTGTATTTCGTCAGAATAATCAATCCGATAAACATCGTAAGGTTCAGAATCCTTCCTATTCCTTTCCATCTATTAGTTCCTCCTCCTAACTGTTCCCCGTAACTTATATCTCGCAGATTCTAGCTCATCGCTGTATTGCTACTATTTGTCATGTATGGGACCCCTCAGGGCAGTGAAATAACCAACGGGTGCCTTGAATTATAGTTGTTGTATTTAGCTTCTTGCTAGTAATGTACAGGATCTGTTGTGGTACACCTTTCTAAGTATCACCCAAGGCTGTTTTCAAAATTGATTTAAATTGTCTCTTGGCTTATTAAAATTTGTCATGTAAAGCGCTGAGAGGGAATTCAGGTTAAATGGAATGTCTGAACTTTTTTTTTCTTCCTTTTGTGTGATTCGTGTAGCATGGAATTTGGTTGTCTAATACCATTAGCTTTGGCATTTTCTACAATATTCACTTCTTAACATAATCTCTATCTGGGCTATTTATGATACAGGATTTCGATTATCTGGTAAAACGTATGTTGATTCTCATTATATGTATTATCTGAGATAGTAGGATTACTAACTCATACTTATTTTATTTTTCATTTTTATATATTAATTACATATATAACTATCTTATTATTTTAATCAAACTGACAAATTGATAAGATGCCTGTGTGAAAATGTGTTATGTGTTTATCAAAGTATTGTGTGGCGCGGTTTAGTTCATCTGGATGAGCACTGATTTTGTAAATACTCTACAATAACAGATTTGACTTTTAAATATGATAATTTAAAGAAAGTACGTGACTTTGTACCATTGTTACTATGTGGTAAGAGGTGGTGTATGTCAGCTCTATTCATATAGTCATTGTAATAGTTATAATTCTCATATTTTGTCTCCCTGGTGTTCAGATATATATTATTGTAGATCCAATCTTTCCTTAGTTTTCATTGATAATAGTAATGGATGTCACCACCCGACATGCCTGTTATCGGATTATGTTCACTATTAATAACTTAAAAGGTGATGGGTTGTTACTTCACACAATTTATGTTATAAATAAATGATTGTGTCTTAAGCTTGTTACTTGGTATATTCAATATTCCTCGAATACACCTTGAAAGTGGGTGTGGGTGTGGGTGTGATGACCACCCCCAATCCCCCCCCGCCCCCCCCCACACACACACACACACTGAACTTGTCGGTGTCAGCATTGGCTGGAGCCAGGGTAAAACCGATTGGTTAATCGAAAGAATGAAAAAACGTGTGGTATCTCCCTTAAATTGTTCAGTTTGCATAATAAAGTTTTAATTTTAGAAGTTAACTGTTACTGGTTCAGTATCAAAAAAAGATACAAAATCCGATGTCTCGAATGCAAGTCTACTAGAAAGATTAAACTTTAAAATGAATGCTATATTTAAAGACTCATAGTGGACTTCAGTGGCGGCATCCCGCTATCTAATTAAAATAAGAAAAAAGTTCCGTTCTATGTTAGCTTTTATTTTTAAAATAGCTATTTTAGATGGTTCTAACGACAACTCTCTTGAACGTTCGTCAAACTAACATTTAGACATAACCGCGTCATAAAATGCCAGCGCTGGAGAGGGTAGAAATTTGATTGGTTCAAGCTGACGACATCGAGTTAGATCAAAAGGTTAATTGGGCGCACGTTGAAGCGGGCTGTCGTAAGATCCTAACTGAAGTGGCTATATCAAAAATAAAAGCGAATAGAACATATTTTTTTTTATATTTCGTTATATTTTTATACGTTTTTGCACCAAAATATACGTCAGAATTTATGGGATATCAATTAAACATGAAAATAATGATATGGTAAAAAATAATTGTGAATTCGTGTTTTAATGTTGACGTATATTGTCGTCACCCATGTCCGTCCGTCCGTCCGTCTGATATACTGAAAATATATCAGGAAAGTGGGCGTATCTTGCTAGGCAACCACTTCTTTAAATAATTCATACGATATGAACATGAAAATTTACTTATTGAATAAATAAGTTTCTAAATATTCCTCTTCAGGTGCATTTACCCATATTGAAATTGATATTATAACTCTATTTTTAGCAAATGATTCTATTTTACTTACTTAGTTTAACAAGTATTAACAATGCCTTATCTGATTTTGATCATAATATTTACACAGATGTTTTACCCCCAACAGAAAGTATCTCTAGCGTCTGTAAATAAGATGATTATAACACCAGAAAGGAAAGGCATAGTTAAGACTCGAAGTTGAATAATTATGGTTATTATCTTATCAAATTAAGTAAACTTAATGACCTTATTAGCCTATAACAAATTGCAGATTCCCAAATGATGAGTCGGGACACTTTATGTAGAGACCCCAGTGTAGTTGATTACAATATAATTATGTCCACTAGGTTTATCAAAACATTTGAAAAATTTGAAAAAATATTCACTGATGCTCACTTAGCCTCGAGCAAAAAAATCAAAAAGCTAGTTAATTTCTCTTAAGTTTTATAGAAGCACTTCAACCCGAAATCATGGATATCAGAAAAGAAACATTATTGATTTCAAATATTGACCATCATGAAAAAGTATCAATAATAAGAAAACTTGAATTGAGCTACAACCCTGACATTTCCCGGAATAAAATAGATGATATTCTTATTGATATATCAAGACTGAATTTGTCCTTTGCTTTTAAAATATTTGGGACTAAAAAAGAAAATATAGAAAGGCCAAACGGCTACACATCTCCAACAAATCTTACCATATAACACGACATTACCTGAAGCTACATGAGCAATATAAAACTGTTTTGAACAAAAAATTCATAAAAATGATAAGAAAAAAGATCAAAACTTTATAATACTAAAAACTCAAAAGAACATTTGAAAATTTAAAATGCACCTGTCAAACAAAGAAAGAAAACAATTTGCCTGTAAGTATTGCATATGATCACTTAAAAACATCAACTCTGTCGAACCTGAAAATACTGATATCAATTCAATTAGGTCAGAAACCTAAATATTAGATAGTGGAGTAGGACGCGTGGCAATGTATGAGGATTCTGGCCTAATAACCAGTTCTAAGTTTATGGATAAATGAATTTGGAATGGCGATCTCTATGTCTACAGATTCCTGGATTCCCAGAAAGTCTGTACGACGAATTTGTGCTCTAAAGTCCCAAAATTCTCCTAAAAATTATGCCACTAACATCCAATTTCCCAATGTATGCAGAAGTTTCAGGGATCGGATACAGTATTCTAGATTCTCCCTCAAAGATCGAAGCCAGAAAAGATTCAGTTTAATTGACTTAGTTTATTAACAAAGATATATGACATAACAAGTGTACATTATGGGCGCGCTCACAAGAGAGAAATAACGATTTACAACGATACAACAAAGTTAACAAGAATACAGAAACATTTTCCCAAGGGATTCGATGGGAGTGTTTTCCGGGCGCCGGCCTTTCGAGAGCAGAATGAAACATTTATGATGGTAACGCGCCTCAGCAGCAACTAAACATGCACAGCCCTTGACAGCCGTAGGAAACGCTTGGCCTTGATCGTCCGATTTATGTTTCTTAGCACGCTCTACATTTCTGGCAAGCGTAAGCCTATATTCATTAAGGCAGACCTCATGCACACGAATCTTCACTACCCCAGGTTCGTTTAGTCTGGATTGCAGAAATGTCTAATATATCATCTCCACGTTTCTCACTACATTCAATCAACGTATTCAAGTCTTTTGAGCGGACATTGGCAAGACCATGTCCCAACTCTTTGAAACAAATAAAACATCTACCTTCTGGAAACAACTCCGGACCGGGCAATCGGGCGGGGAACAGTTAAGTTTGTTGACAGCCTTTCGAAAATAGCGTAACGTTCATGGCGTAAATTTAATGACGTCATATATATTTATGACGTCACATCCGTGACGAGGTACAGTTACGTTCGATTTGATTTCATTTCCGGATTCTGTTACAGTTCTATGGTGACATCAACTACCTAATAATTGATACCAAACATGACCAGGTAACTTTAGACTGTCCCGAATTCAGATAAGTTTTCCAAGCGGTACCATATTTTTTTTAAATATTTCGAGTACCAAT